CACCCTAAACCCACTCAGAACACCCTAGCAACCACATAACAACACACAAACCCAATTAAAACACCTTAGCTACCTCATAGCAACACACTAAACCCACTCAGTACACCCTATCTCAACCACTTAGAAACACACTAAAACAACTCAAAACACCCTAGCAACCTCACAGCAGCACCCTAAACCCACTCAGAACACCCTGGCAACCACATAACAACACATTGAATCCACTCAGAATGCCTTAGCAACGGCACAGCAACACATTTGGATTTGGATGAAAACCACCCAAAAAAATCCTAGGACACCATAGCAACCGCAGTGAGTTCTGCATGTGCACACAACACTCAAATCATGTAAATATCAAGTTGTTGCTCTCAGAAAAGCTTGAGGAGATGTGGATTTAGATGAATGTCGGTCAGATCGCTTGTGTTTTGGCTTCAGGTTTTTCACTGTGAAAGAGCGGAGGATATCATACAGGCCTGAAGGAAATCATGAAATGAAGTGGAGTTTAATTGAATCGAGTCAGCTTAGCTTATCTCAGATCATCACAGCTCTGTTTCTCTTCTTCATAAGGTTGTGCATCGGGAGCGAGTTACTCTGGAATCCCAGCTGGAGTTGCTGCGGCCCATGGCGTCGACCTGACCCGACCCGACCCGACCCGACCCGACACGCGCTCACTGTCCCTCTCTTTCTGTCTCTAATACTGTGAGCTGGGACAGGATACGCACTTTAAGTGACCAAGCTCTTGGGATGCCACAAACACTGTGTCAGAAGCACAGGAAGAGGATTTTACCTCCACGGGAGAGCGTGAAGAATTCTAGGAAGTTTGTTTGGTCAAAAACCTCGTTTTGGTTTGGGTTTGTGTGTTCCTGTCTGTTTTACAGCAGAATCATGCTAACACCGCTAACTGCTAGTTACACAGACCAATTCAAAAGAAAAGCTTCAGTATTGCACATATTCCAGGAAACTGGAAATCAGTTTATGGTTTATGCAATGGATCTGGTTCTATAACTGCACAAATATATAGAGGAATGACTTTTTTTTTGTATTTTTGTTGCCATCATTTAATAAAACATTAATTTGTTTGAGGCTAATCCTGTTCTACCAAGAATAAGCTTATAAGGGTGAATATCATGAAAAAGTCAAGACACATTTCACCCCAAAATCAGAAGAAAATAACAGAATTAGAATTATAACGTCATACTAATAATACATGTATATATATATATGTGTGTATGTATGTATGAATGTGTGTGTTTATTTTTATTTTAATACATAAAATTATATATTATATAATAATTATGTATGTGTGTGTATGTATATATATATATATATATAAATTATTATATATACTTAATAATAATTTATGCATTTAGCAGACGCTTTTTTTATCCAAAGCGACTTACAAATGAGGACAATAAAAGCAGTCAAAACTAACTATATATATATATATATATAATTATATTGTTAATTATTATAATAAATATTGCATTTTCTAAGTGAAGTGACGTGACATTTTTTATGCATATAGTAAAGCCTATTAATATTTGTTTTATGACAATTAAATCCATTTTAATCATTAACTAATGTCAGCACAACAAATAATATCCTGATCATAATAATATGTAATATTTGTTTTCCATTATAGTAATTATTAATAATACTTTGGGGAATGAAAAAAAAACAAGCTCAATTTTCTTTAAGAAAAATATAATTTATTCTTTCATAATTTCTGTAATTTTTTTCTTTTGGTTTTGGGGTAAAAAAAATCTCCCTTGACAGTTTTTGTGTGATTCGCCCGTGATGAACACTGTTGAAAAGTAAGTCAAATGTAGAATAATCATTACTTTGTGTGCTGGGACAAAGAGTGTTGGATGTGTTGTAGAGACTCTTCAAATGTGAGTGTGTTTGTGTTCATGCATGAAGATGAACGTTTAAACTGAAGAGGCATTTCTTTTTACACAGCTAGTTCTGACGGCATGTTGTATGTGAGTAGTTTGACAGTACAGGACTGTTTATGACTGGAATATTAGAATATGTAGACGTACCTGTTGAATGCCACATTAACCTCAGATCAATGAGGGCGGCGATCCAGTGATTGTGCTTGTAATGTATTACAAAAACCATCCATCCATTTTTGTTTTTAGTTTTTCTTTTATTGCTTGCCATATCTTAACTATTATTTCTAACTTTTCCGTAATTTCTTAAGCATTTATTACTATCCTAAAAATCTTTTTTGGGGGTAATTACAGTAATTATGAAATGTCAAAAAAGACTGATTGTTTCAAAAAAATGCATCAAATGAAAACCAGCGACTGCAAAAAACAAAATATAAATGTCTGTATTTTTTGTTCAAAAGTGTGCTAAATACTTTCCTATGCAATCATTTTGGTGATTTTGCGGGCCTAGCTTGTTGTGGGCTATGCTGTGTGTTTTTGATACTGATTGAATTTCTCATGAACTGTGTTCTGATGCAGGAGTGTTCAGGAATGTTCTGTCCGTGAGTGTGTCAATAAACCTTATTTGGAATTATGGGAGATTGTGAAGGATGTGGCGTGTCTTGCCTCACATATTTGTAGAACCTGCTTGCTTGTCATTTTGGGCTAGTTTTTAAATGTTCATGATGCATGTATGTAATTGTTGTTTGTTTTTACAAATTGTTGAAATTATTTTCTAGTGTGAGGGAATGCATATTATAGAGTTAACCTGAATGGAACTTTTTCCCGTCAGTTCATCTCTCCGGTTTTCTCATATGTGACCCTGGAGCACAAAACCAGTCGTAAGGGTCAATTTTTTTCGAAATTGACATGTATACATAATCTGAAATCTGAATAAATATTGATGTATGGTTTGTTAGGATAGGATAATATTTGGCCGGGATACAACTATTTGAAAATTTGGAATCTTGAGGGTGCAAAAAAA